AATACCTAAGCTTAAGGGGTTTAAATGCGCACTTTTCAGCGCTCATCATTAATTTACTGTGGTTATACTATATAGTGCAATCAATTCCAAAAAGGTAAGTGATGAAGCTAATTCCAACACCCCTTGCCCTTGTAGTCCCTGCTACAGTCCTTGGAACAAGTGGTCCACACCTGCTGCAACCCTTGGAATAATTGGTTAATTTGTAATTTATATATTTCTTTTATTTTCTTTGCAAAAAAGACTATCAAAACACTATAACAGTACTCTTAGAGGGAGAGCGTTGTCTCAACTGTTAATTTGATAGACTAAGAATCAATGATTTTCAATCCGTTCAGAACTTGAACGAAGCGTTACCTGAACATTATCAGCAGGGTTCTATGGACTTGAGCTTCAATAATGTCATTAATTCATCTCTGTTAATAGTCCATCAATTCAAAGACAAAAGGGGAGCAAATGGTGTTAAGGAGGGCACTTGGGCAGTTATGACAGCTCCAACGGGATGAAAACCATGTAAAAAGGTTTTCAATACGATTCATAGCTATGTAAATGGAATTTAAACTCAATGTGGTTGCTTGCTGATGAAGATGTTATTGTATGGTAAAATCTAAATACATTTTGGACAGTAGTTTCATCCTAGTTTTGTTTAGTTGATGAAGATGTTAATGTATGCTCCTATTACTTTACTATGCCTCTAGTTCTTGGTTTTGTCCATTTCTGGTTTCGACACAGCTTCCCCTGGTATGTTTATACAAAATGACTGTAACCTACAATGCTATACAAAAAAGTGGAGGCATGTTTATATAAAATGACTGTAACCCATAATACTATCATATCCAAGGTCAATACGTCATTACTAATCAAATTATACAAATGTCATGTACACAATTTCCAATGAATTTAAATACATAAACGAGGCCGCCATGGCTGTACATACAACCTTTTAACATTAAAGAGATTTTTAGCGTCGCCTAAATCCGTGAATACAAGTCATACGCCATTTCTCTTCCGGTTCCCTGAAAATATTAAGATAAGGGGTGAGCTCAACAGTTCAGTAGGTAATGCCTAAAACACCGGTTTTGGACTCCCTTGAGCCAACAACCGAAGAACGGAAATAAAATAATAATAATAAAAAATAAAAATAAATAAAAAATCGGGGTCATGTAATGGGAGTCCGTACAACATTTATAACATAACAATCAATACACACAGTCACATATCACAATTCCTCAAAATCATGCACGTGATATGAAGTGTGATGCATCCCATCCCAAACTTGGTCTATACTGACCCAATACTCACTTTTCGAAAACCCGCTAATTGACTTTACCGAGGCGAGATTGATAGGTATCCTCAGTTCCAATTTTGGCAAAACCTGGTAACCATTAAAGGACCTAGTATTAACTTTTTTATGCCCTACACCGAGACGCGCTCCCTCTAGGTCAAGCTAGCCCCAGACTCGCGAAATCCGGTTCATTTCTAAATCATTTCCTCACAATCCTTTCCAAACATATTTCTTTAAAAAAAAAAAAAAAAAAAATCATTTCAACCTTACTTTTCCCAATCCATGCCTGTGCCATGAATGGAATCATGCTTGAATGAAAGTGATATAAACATGCCTGCACTTTATCAGTTTAGTCATACATACTCATCATCACATATATGTAATCTCAAGAAACAAACTCGATGCAAGGCATGTTCATTAAACAACTTTACAACTAGTCACATATATACATACACAATTAATATCATCTAGAGCATGTTTCGTCGCATAAGCACGTAAGCACATAACCGACATTAAAAAAAAAAAATCATTTCAACCTTACTTTTCCCAATCCATGCCTGTGCCATGAATGGAATCATGCTTGAATGAAAGTGATATAAACATGCCTGCACTTTATCAGTTTAGTCATACATACTCATCATCACATATATGTAATCTCAAGAAACAAACTCGATGCAAGGCATGTTCATTAAACAACTTTACAACTAGTCACATATATACATACACAATTAATATCATCTAGAGCATGTTTCGTCGCATAAGCACGTAAGCACATAACCGACATTCAATTTCTCTGAAAGTTATCATTTTAAGCATGTTTACCAAGAATTCATGTATACGAACTCAACTAAAGTCAAAACTTAATGGTTTAGACATCCCTACCTCAAAAGTGACCAAAATGTATCCCCGGCCGCAAAAGTCAATGCCAGTCAATGCCGGTCAACGAAAGTCAACTCCGATCAATGGCAGCGGAACGAAAAATTGTTCTGTAGGAATGTAGCCAATGACGACTGTTCCAAAGGCGTGTCTCCGGAATCCGACTTCAAGTGGCCCAAAACTTAAAAATTCATAAAATAATTACCGCTCCTCCAAAAATTAAATCATTTGACTATGTGATAGAGAACGACGAGAAGAATATTTTCCATTAAAGAACCAAGACCAGAAACCTGACCGTTTGGCTGAAAAATAGAAGAGAATTTTGTGGCAAAAGAAAAAGAAAAAAATGAGGCTGAGGGGGAGAGAGATACTACGCGAGAGAGAGAGAGAAGAACTGAGGCTGATTTTAGTCAAAATGGCTTTAAGGCCACTAAAGAGATAACATGGCGGGTCCCCCCAAAAAGAAAAAATCTCACCTTTCATTAATATATATATATATATTTATAGCCATATCAAGTTACAGCCACATTTAGTCATACCATCAATATAATATGCACAAGATCATGATGTATAAGATGCAAAGGGCCCAAAACAGAACACGTACGCAACGATCCCGATAACGGGTCCCACCTGAGACCTCCTATCCAGAAAAACAGAAAAATGCCGAAATGGCAACCAATGCATTCTCAAGAGTTCTGAACTCAAGGAAATGTCTCAATCAACATCCTGACACACCCGACACATCCCACGGTATTTGGCACGCAAAACGAGACAAAACGAAAATAATTCCGAAAAATTAGGAAAATCCCAAAAAATGAAAAATGATAAAAAAAAAAAAAAAAATTGAAAACATTACAAACACATTGCAGAAACAATTTGATTAACAAGTTTAGATTTATAGAAAAAAAATTCAAATGCGAAGCAACAAATTCAGAAAATTGAATTTAATATTAACAAAAAAATGAGAGCAAGTATTTACAAGGGACCGGTGCTTTTGGCGACACGACTAGTTTCGTCGGCGAAAAGGCCAATAAGCTCGTAACAGATAGAATAGTGAAAAGAATGTTGGACGGGATCCCTAAACCCTAAAGAACTCCTGTTGGCATGGTTAATTTGTTATCCACTTGAATGTTATATTCAAGTAATTTATAGGACAAAGTAGTAAAAAACCCCTGAACTATGTCAAAATTTGCAAATAACCCTCTTGAAATATATTTTCTGCATATAACCCCTCTAAACTATCACATTTAGTTGGATTATATTTCATTAAATGTCTATAATACCATTCAAATTGAATTACATTTAATATATTTTTCTTATTGAAATAAATTATGAAAAGTAATTCATACTAATTGGATGACATGTTCTCCATTAAATTTTCATTAATTTATATTTAATTTTTTAAATAAAAATATTAAGTAGAAAATTTTAAAACAATTTAAGTGATTTCTTAATTTTTCACGAATATATTGCTTAAAAAAAGAAGGTATTTTTTATCTAAGTTATTTATTAATTTTTCAAGAATACATTGTATGAAAAGAGGGTACGTTTATGGTAAAAAAAATTAAGTTCAAAGTGAGTATCATAAGTTTTATTATAAATAGTAAAATTTTAATAATAGGTTAATCATTTTAAAAATGGTACTTACAAATCTTTTATTATTTATTTTTATTTTAATGATAAATTGATAAAATTAATAAAATTAAGATAAATGATATAATTAATATTTTGATAAGAGAAAAGCTAATAAAAATAATTTAATAAGAAATGAAAATTTTAATGAGAAAGGATAAAATAATCGTTTGTGATAGATTTGTCCTTAATTGCAACATATCAATAATTTAGAGGGACAATTTGTAGTTCAAGGGAATTAAATACAAAAATTTAAAATTTAAAATTAAAAATAGTCCAAGAGATTTTTTTGCACTTTACCCTAATTTCTGTACCACATCCTTAGTTCTTCATATTGATCAGCTAGGATCTAAAATTCTTGATATTCAATTTTCTTTGTTTTAAGCTATAATTCAATTTCAATTAATTTTATGTTTCTTTAATTTTTATTCCAAGACGTCAATTTAGTACTTCTAAATATAACTTCTTAATTCTTAATATCCAATTTTCTTTGTTTATAAACTAGGGAAATAAAACTAAATTTTCTCAAATTAACGTAGGTCTGAACTATTTTATTCCGGCTCACTCTTAACATCCAATTTCCTTTGTTTATAAGAGAGAGATGGGAAGGAGTCAAATGTCTTCCGCCGGCCCAAAAATTTTCCGCGGGCCCCAAATCAACATAAAAACTATTGTAGGAAGTCATCCCCATTTGGACAGACTTGATGAAGCCCGTTGACCAATATAAATATAAATATATATACATTTTCTATGAAAAACGGCAGTCCTAGTTGCTTTCTTTTGTTCTGTGTTCTTCAGTGACCTAACACTGAAAGTTGAACAATGAAGCAAAATGAATCATGAATCATCACACGGCCTACTTGTGGATTAAACATGCAGTGTCGATGGCACGGGACGGCATGAAAGCAAATAAAGTGTTTTCTTTACTGCATTATGTGAATTTTCTGCAAAGCTTACTCAGTCAAATAAATGGAGGTTGGTTTAAGTATAAAATTTGTCTGTACCTAAACCTCATCACCTTTCACCTTCATTTTCCTTCATAGTTTATTCTATGAATGTTGAGCATCTATACTACAACTGCGCTAAGCCATAATTTCTGTTCACATAGCTTCTTAACAGACCACAATATAAGATAATATTGGCTTGTGCTTTTTTTGTTCCAACATACTGTGTTTACACTCACCCTGTCAGCTTTCAGAAGCACAAAGATATGGTTTCAAAGCTATTAAGTTTAACTTCCCTCCTCTTTTACATCCTTTTTCATGCAAGCTTCATTTTACTTGCCCCAAATTCCACTTTCGGCTTCACAAATGAGACGGACAAGCAAGCCTTGCTAGCCATCAAGGATCAAATTGTTGAAGACCCTTTCCAGGTCTTTAGCTCATGGAATGATTCTATCCACTTTTGTAAGTGGAAAGGAGTCACATGTGGTCTCCAGCATCAGAGGGTGACCATCCTAAACTTGTCATCCTTGAAATTAGTTGGTTCCTTGTCTAGTCACATAGGAAACCTTTCCTTCCTTAGACGGATCAGTCTTGAGAACAACTACTTCCATGGCACTATCCCCCAAGAAATTGGTCGATTGTTTCGCCTACAACATCTCTCACTTTGGAGCAACTCCTTTCAAGGTGAGTTCCCTACCAATTTGACTGATTGCTTAGACATCAGAGTCGTCAATATATCTTCAAACAATCTTGCAGGAAGAATTCCTATCGAACTAGGATCATTTACGAATCTTTTACAATTGGATCTTTCTAGAAATCATTTCACTGGCAACATACCACCTTCACTGGGTAATCTCTCCTCTCTTGGCGTACTTATTCTTCACAATAACAATCTAAATGGAAGCATTCCTTTCGAACTTGGAAAGCTTTCCAACTTGAAATATTTTCTATTGAGTTCCAACAACTTGTCCGGAATGATTCCTACCCCGCTTTACAACATCTCATCCATCCATATCTTTGCTCTAGCTGCCAACCAGTTAAGCGGAACCCTCCCCCAAGAACTGGGATTGACCCTTCCAAAACTAATATCATTCTTACTTGGTGGTAACCAATTCTATGGGCCTATCCCACCATCATTGTCCAACGCTTCAGCACTTGTTGAATTAGATATCGCTATTAATTTTTTCAGTGGGTCTGTACCAATGAATTTGGGCAACCTTCGAGATCTAGAATGGCTAAATATTAATTTTAACCGACTCGGAACTAAAAAAGCCAATGACTTGAGCTTCCTTGATTCATTAACCAATTGTACAAATCTAGGACTTCTATCTTTAGGTTGGAATTACTTTGGGGGTCTACTGCCCAATTCAATTGCAAATCTATCCATCAATCTCAACTCACTTGGGATAAATCAAAACTACCTATCTGGAATCATACCTCAAGGGATTGAGAACCTCATCAACTTAAAGGTTTTAGCCTTACATGAGAATATGCTCACTGGAAGTATTCCTGAATCCATTGGAAAAAATTCTAAGTTGGAAGAACTCTACATTTTTGCAAATAACATCTCAGGAAAAATTCCATCATCTATTGGCAACATGTCTCGGTTGAGCATTCTTTCATTAGGACCAAATATGCTAGGGGGAAGCATACCTGTTGCATTGGGAAATTGAACAAATCTTCAAGGATTGGATCTTCTACTTAATCACCTCACTGGTGCAATACCCGAGCAAGTTATTGGACTTTCTCCCCTCACTGTTGGTCTCTTCTTGCAACACAATTATCTAACAGGACCACTACCATCACAAATGGGTAACTTGAAAAATCTTGGGCAATTGGATATTTCAGAAAACAAACTTTCTGGAAAAATCCCAAGCAGTCTTGGTGAGTGTCTAGTGTTAGAAGTCCTGCATATGGAGGGTAACCTTTTTGAGGGTACTATTCCATCCTCTTTTCAGCAATTAAAAGGAATTCGAGACCTAAATCTTTCTCGTAATAGTTTGTCTGGACGGATTCCAAGCTTTCTAGGCGAGCTCCGATTGATTGAATCTCTAGACCTTTCATATAATAAATTTGAAGGTGAAGTTCCAAATGGCGGAGTGTTCATGAATGTTAGTGCATTTTCAATTGTGGGAAATGACAAACTTTGTGGAGGAATCAAGGCACTGGAATTGCCCGCATGTCCCACACAAAGGGCAAGAAGGCCTTTTGCCCGTAAAGTGATAATTCTTGTGACAAGTATCACTCTATCTACAATTTTGTTGATAGCATGTGCTTTTGCTCTTTTTTATCTGATGAAAAGGTCAAAACTCAAGTCTTCTGCAGATTGTCCATTGGGAAATCAGTACCCAACACTCTCTTATGCAGAACTCCAACATGCTACCAACGGATTCTCTTCATCCAACTTGATTGGTGCGGGGAATTATGGTTCTGTTTATAAAGGAATTCTCAACTCCGGTGAACAAATTGTTGCTGTGAAGGTATTCAACCTTCAACTACCTGGAGCCAACGAGAGCTTCTTGGCTGAATGTGAAGCGTTGAGGAAAATTCGCCACCGCAATATGGTCAAGGTCATAACATGTTGCTCAAGCATGGACTTCAAAGGAAATGAGTTCAAGGCTTTGGTCTTTGAGTTCATGCCAAATGGGACTTTAGAGAGCTGGTTACACCCAATTCAATCTGAGCAGCAGCATCCAAAGAGCTTGGATTTCATACAAAGGCTAAACATTGCGATTGATGTAGCATCTGCATTGGATTATCTTCACCATCATTGTGAAACAACAATCATTCATTGCGATCTAAAGCCAAGTAATGTTCTTCTTGACAATGAGCTCTGCGCTCATGTGGGTGATTTTGGGGTATCAAGGTTTCTTGGAGCCGTGAGAGGTAAACCCAGCTGTTCGCAATCTAGTTCTTCAATTGGGATTAGAGGAACAATTGGTTATGTCGCGCCAGGTAACTTATAATCATACAACTATTTCATAATTTTATACACCTACCTTTTGATACATACTCTGATTTAGTTTCTTCAAGGGATTTATTAAGGTTTTGACTAAAATATAAGAAAATTTCTTAGATTATAGTTTGAAACACATCTAGTTGATTTCAAGATGACACCGTTTTGCATAACAAAGTTGAGCATAGTGTAATTGTAAAATTTTACTGCAGTGTCATAATATAGATTAAAATAATTTAGAACTTTGAGAAAGTTGAGCATAACATATTTAAGCAATATGTTAATTAATTTATTATTATCATTTTGTGTAGAATATGGTATGGGTGTGGACTTTTCAACCCAAGGTGACATATACAGCTATGGTATTCTCTTACTGGAGATGTTTACGGGACAAAAGCCCACCAACAACATGTTTACTGAAAGGATGGTGCTGCCAAGTAGAGTGTTGGAGGTTATCCACTCTTTATTCTTATTGGAAGAGGAAGATGTGATCCTCCGTATTGGAGTCATGTGTTCTTCTGAATTGCCGAGAGAACGGATGGATATTAGGGATGTTCTAATGGAACTCCACAAGATCAGAAACACATTTCTGAGAAGAAGCTAATGTCTATAGAAAGGAGACGGATCAAAAACACCTTTTTAATCATCAAATGTTTAATCATAACCTCATACAAAATCATGTGATAGAAACTTCTAATAGTTCGTTGTGGCTGTCTAAAGTTTTTTTTTTTTTATCTAGTTGTTTTCTATCTCAGGTTTCGGTTACTTTTGCAATGTTTGGAAGCGCTATAACATTCTGTGAATAAATTATATATGATCGTGAATTGTTGATTACCACCCAAAAAAATCTGCTTATGAATTATACACTTGATGGTTGGCTACTTGATGGAATTTTATTTTTTTATTTTTATTTTTCGGTATTTGGCAAAAGTCTAGGTCGAGTCCATCGGGCGAACGTATAAAATAAATTGTCAAAAATTGATAGATAAATTATTTTTGTTAGGTTTTACGACAACCATACACCAAAAAATTAAAAAATAAATATTTTCTAAAAAATATTTTACATCCAAACAAAAGCAACTTAAAGGTGCAAAAAAAGTTTGATCTTAATCACCCAAGTGTCGTAGATGTACTTCTTCTCTGCTATGGGAACCTTGACTCAATCTTTCAACAGTCCCTTAACCAATCTTATCCATCAAACTCTCCAAGAGTTTAATCTATTTTTCTGGTCCATCCCTGTCTTCTGAACTGAGTAATTCAAACAACAAGAGAATGATGCATTTGTTCTAGAAAGAAACCATTACCATTTACCACACACAAATTAGGCATTTGAAATATGAAAAAATGAGCTTAAACACACATCTACCAGCCTAATAAAATTGGCCGAATACATGATTTCTTAATTTTGCATCTCATTTTATTTCAAATAATATTGACTTTTAAATTATAAAACAAGTAGAAACCTTCTGGTGATCACAGCAATTGATCCTCTTGGTTGGTTACATAATGAGCAAACATGGAAAGAGAGAAAAAGCACATGGAGCATTGGTTATACATTGTCTATGAAAGCATAAGAAGCGTTGCCCAAGCCCACAAAATTTCGGGCTGGGCTCGGTTTATTTCAAGTTGGATCCGTCTGAGTTACAGCCCTAATTTGAATTATGAAAATATATGCTTAAACACACATCTAAGTTACTGAAGAACTTACCAGCCTTATAAAATTGGCCTAATACTTGATTTCTTAATTTTGCATCTCATTTTATTTCAAATAATATTGACTTGTAAATTATAAAACAAGTAGAAACCTTCTGGTGAGCACACAGGGATGAAACTGAACAGAGCAATTAGGACGAATTTGTTATTGTTTATCAAACTATTTTTTCTTTTCTTTTTCTTTTTCTTTTCTTTTATTTATTTATTTTTTTGTTCACTTTTAAAAACAAGTTATTGATTTTCATTTTCAAAAATAAAGAAACTACAATAATGAAAGTTTCCAAAATAGGGACATTTTTGGGCTTCAGTTGTTAATATACTATGGTAGAATAATAAACTATAGTAGAATTCAAAGACGCTAGGTATCATGCGTCACCGCAACAACTTCACATTGGTTGCGCACTAACTCTAGAATTTTAGATCGTTTATGTAACAACTTACCTTGCATGTAGACTGATATATTATATTACATAATGATGTTTTATGTAGCGTGACATAAAAATATCTTGTACTACATGAGGAGATCTTCTTTATTCTACTCCATATATTAGCATTGTAAATTTCTTGTACGCTTTTGCTAATTGGATTTTGTTTGAAGTGTGAACCTTAAACCAAAGATGTTTTTGCACTAATGCAAATTTTGTTAACAAAGCAAATTCAAAAAACTAACAAGAAGTTCTACAATACCTCAGTTACCGTACTCGAGATCTCTTTGTGATTGGATCATCTATGTGGTAGGCCCCACCACCACACCCAGACCCAGCATAGGACTTGGGTTTTTTATATTTTTCATTTTATATCTTTTTTTAAAAAAAAATTATGAAGATGCCCCCATTGGATTCTTTTTTTTTTTTTGCATTTATACTTCAAATGTTTAAGAATTTATAAAGATGCTCCCACTAAAATTACAATTCGCCCCACTATTTTTTTTTTTTTTTTTTTTTGCATTTTATAGTTTAAGAATTTATAAAGATGCCTCCACTAAAATTACAATTCGTCCGACTATTTTTTTTTTTTTTTGCATTTTATACTTTAGATTTTTTCAATTATTTTTAAAAAAACCCATTAAAATTACAAAATGAACCCACCACATAAATTTTTCCCCATAAATTAAAAAGTCGCCGTACTTCATAAATTTTTTTGAATCTGTTACTAACCACATCTAACAATTTAGAAACACGAAATATGATACCTCCAAAATATTTTAAAATTTTTCAAAACTAACCATGGTTAAGGAAACCATAGAAAATAAGTGAATAGTTTTTCGGGTAAAAAAGTTTCAAAAATTCATTTTATGAAAAACATATTTTCGACTCTAAAACATGCCTCCCAAAGTCAATATTTAAAAAAAAATCCTCTCCCTCATCCTTTTCAATCTTTTGATTGTTTAAGAAAAAGCAATACGAAATGGACTCATATATATAATATGTATATGTATATAATGTATATATTACCCCCACGTGTCAACTCAAGGGATCGAAAGATCCACCGAGACTCTGTTAACCCTTGTGTGACTATATTCCCCTTCAACTTGGAACTCGCCGCGAATCCAAACGCTGATTGACTTTCCGGCCAACACCAACTCTGTTGTTCACTGTAAGTTCGTACGAAACTTCGTTTTTTCACTATAAATCGGCTATTAAAACCCTCAATTTCGGTTTTAGATTGTTTTCATTTGCAATATGTTTGACCTAAGCTTTCCTGCGCATATAAACACACGTTACATATGATTAAAATTGTTTACACATTTGCTGAGAAATAGGCTTTGGACTGTATAAAAACATGTATAACGACAAACCCTTTTCTGGTTTTTGTTTTGTTGATGAGAAGATGAAGGGGGAGAAGAGTTAGATCTTTATAACTTTTACTGATGTTATGATTCCCAAATTTTACAACCCAACTAATTAGAACAATTATTAGTCAGTTGAATGGAAGATTTTTTATTTTATTATTTTTTATTATTAATTTTTTATATTAAGAAGGTTGAATGGAAGATTTTAGATTTATCAAGTCCCTTAGATAAATGATCTTGAGCATTATTTTATTTTTATTTTTTCCTTTCTGTCATACATGCTATTTTTATGTGTATATAAACTCACTAGATTAGGCACTGGAACTTCAAAGAAGAAGGCAAAAATCTCTTGAACTTCAGAAAGAGAAAAAATAAGAAATATGCCAAGGCTATAATTCACTTGTCATTGATTTGGGAAAGAACATTAATTGAAGTGATTGAATGAAAAGTACTATTTTGGGTCAAGGAGATTGAAAGAGAGCAATGGCAAAATTGAATGACAATATAGGGAAAAGTATGATAATATATACCTCGCCACTAACCACTCGCTCTCCGGCCCCTCTCGAACAAGCACGTGGGCACCTTCCGGCTGGATTTCATGTAAGCTGGCTCAAAACCAGCAAGGAGTCACTTTTCACCTGAACGGTGAGAGTTCCCATGTCTAAGAGAATTTCCATTTGAACCAGCTGATTCACCTCACTTCTTACTTTTCTCTAGGCTACGAGGCCAGATTTTTTAAGGATGGCAATGGGGCGAAGTGGGCGGGGATCTCATTCCCCATTCCCCTTCCCGGTCAAATTTTTTACCCCCATCCTCGGCCCATACTCATTTAATTTTCAACCCCATCCCCGCCCTTTAACACAGTCTTAATATTTTCAACCTAATAATTTAATAAAACTTCAGCATAATTATAACAAGTTAAAATATGATCAGATATTTGATGCACAACGACTCGGGGGAATAGATCTAGGGTTTCAGTTTTCAGAAGTGAATGTATTATATAGCTTTGTAATTTAGTAATATTTTATAACATGTAAGGACAAATTTGTAAAAATGCACTATAAACGGGCGGGGTTACCCTCCCCCGTTCCTACCCCATCCCCTGTCGGGTTTCAAATACAATTCACATTCCCTTCCCATTTACATAAATGAGTCCCCAAACCCGCCATAAACAAGGCGGGTGGAACGAGGACCCGCCGGGTATAGGGATTTTGCCATCCCTATCCACAATAGGGATACAATCCTAGTTCTTATCTTTTGCAATGTCAGTCAACGGGTCTTCACTCAGTCTCTTCAATATGTGTATGTCAGTTGAAACCTAATAACTAGTTTCTTTTCTTTATTATTATTTTTTTTGAGAAAATAGATTAAAAATTATTAGTTCTTCCCTTAAAATCTTCTTTTTCTTTCTTATACTAGTTTAAATGCAACAAATTCTTTGTTCTTGTCGTTGGAAGCATGTGCAAGATTAAAAGAAGACATATATTTTTTATATATGAAGTAATATTATATATGGTAGATGAATACTTAATCAATGTAACATGAAAGTTGTAACTTATAAATCATAGGATAAAGGGCAAAAAAAACCCCTCTAAGTATGTCTAAATTTACAAATAACTCTCCTGAACTATATTTTGTGGATAAAACCCCCTAAACTATCACATTTAGTTGCAAAATGCTCCATTGTTTTACCTATTTTTCATTAAATAACCATAATACCATTTCTTATTGAATTACACTTAATATATTTTGCTTGTTAAAATAAATTATTTCATTTGAGAGATGAATTCAATAATTCGCTGGCCTTCTTGTTTAAGAGTAGAAAGTTGAACCATTAATTGAAATTGGCAAGCCCCATCAGAACCAGAGTAGAGAGAGGCAAGCATGTCCCAGACCTCCTTGGTAGTCTCATAACTCCCAAATTCCATACCAATGGAAGAATTGGATGTGTTGCGTAACCATGTGATGATCTTGTGATTCTTCAACAAGTGTTACATAGGCAAGGCATCTGATGTCTCTTCTTTGGCTTGAGTAGGTTTTGTACAATCTCTGGTGACATAGGATCATAGCTTGCAACCTTTCAGAAAGGTTGGCATAGATTGATTCCAAAAGAAGTAATTGTCACCATTAAGAATAACTGAAATAGGATGAGTTAACTCGTTTTGAGCCATTTGGAAATCCTAAATGCAAAAACGAACTGCAAATTCGGAATCAGGAATCAGCGTGAAAAACTGGGTTGAATTGGTGTTTTCAAAAAAAAAATTCTTAAACTGTTGACGTGGCCTGACACGTGCCGCAGCGTGGAACTAACGCGCCTAGGAGTGTGGCAGGGCGTGGCGACGTGGAGGCACGTGGCTAATGGAAAAAGCTGGCTGAACCTTCTGGTGGGAAGGTGTGCGTGGTGTTTTCTGGCTATTTTTGGTTGATCTTTCGCCTAGTATACTTAGAATTGCGAAAAGACTTGCTGAAGCTCAAATTCGAACCCCTAACAGGATGTATGCTTGATGAACTTATTGGAAGCCATCAGAGAATAAAGCAAAAAAAAAAATTTTAAAATAAAGAAGACATAGAATTTAGCTCTGATACCATGTTATATATAAATAAGAGAAACTGCATATTGTATTGATGTGTATGAGATTCATACGAAAGGGGTTTATATAGGTAGGGTTATGTGTAATGAACAAGTAACCCTATATGTATATGGTAACTATATATATGATAATCCTATACAAGATTAGAATATATTATACAGTACACTAATAATATATATATATATATATATGATAATTCTATACAAAGTTAGAATATATTACACAATATACTAATGGTATATTTTATGATATATTCTGACAATTTTAGTAGTTTTCAACCTTGCAATGTGTTTTTTTTTTTTTTTTTTTTTTTTTTTTTTCAGACCCCCGTCAAACATTGTCAAGACAAAAACAAATAAATTAATGTAATGACTGATTTACTCTTTTCTTATATACACTTGACCAAACAATTTGTTTTATAACTCCCGCCAAGGTTAGGTTTATCTGTTGGACCAAACAACTAGTCAGTGAACCAAACGGATGAGGAGAGCAATTGGCGGCGGAAGCGCTGGCCTTGGCCGGCTCTGTGGATGGCCGACATCGCGGATTGTTAGGGTTTCTCGGGCATCGGGAGGGAAAGATCGGCACAGCAAGGTTTGAACCTCCAAAGGGCTTCGAGACCATCGAGTCCGTCTCTCAGTTCACATGTACGGCAATACAGTTTTATGATCTTCAATCAATCAATGCTTCTTCTCTCATCCCTCGTCACTTACGTTAGGAGAAAACGCCGAAGGTCTTGTTTCTACCTCCGCCGCCGATCAACACCACCTCCTATGGAGAACCCTAATGAATCCACACTGTGGAGGGAAAAAAAACTCCCTCCAATAAAAAACGCACACGTCACCACTACCCATATCTACAGGCCAAGGACATATAAGGCCCATCATGCTCAAGCCCAAGTTGAGGGTATTTACAGTCCAAGACCATTCCATCAAGGCTGACTCAAGAAGCCATCAGCCCAGCTTGTCGTCAGCCCAGATATGAGTATTTAACATCCGGCCTGTTACCCAAGCCCAGCCGGATCAAAATATATTCAGCCCAAGAATGCACAAATCCTACCATTTGAAGAATTTACCGTAGAAGGAAAATTCGGATAGGAAGTTCTGTACAAGGCAAGTTCTATGTATAGAAAATTCAACAATGGAAAGAATTCTATTAGAAAAGTATGGTTATATAGAAAGAATTGGAGGGCAAGCAACGCGAGTCCTACCATAATTTTGCAATCTTTTGTATATAAATAGGGGCTAAGACCTCCAATAAAGGATCAAGCAATTCCACACTTCTCTACACATTGTTCTTATTTATTTTTATGGTTTTTGAATGAGTTGTTTTATTTTTCTCAGTCATTATTGGTTGAGCGAAATTTTGCACCTACACTTTGGCTCCGTCTGTGGAAACCGTATAGAAATATACTCCCACTTGTTCTTCAAAATAAATCCTTTAATCGTGTCTGGAATGTCAAACGGAGAGTCAGTAATGAATCAACAGATAGAATTGATGCAAAAGATGCGAGAAGAGTTCTTGCACCAATTTGAGACACTCCGGCAAGCAAACGATACGAGTGTCGCCCAGATAGCTACGCTTCAGCAGCAGACTCATACGCTGCACACGGCCATGGCCAGGCTAACGCCACAACCACCACCAGGCGATGCTGCGGCACCACCTCCCACCCGGAATTTACCTCCGGTTCACGAGCCTCCAGCCAACGAGACACCACCCAACGGGGCTCGACCTAGTGAGGTTCAGCAAAAGCAAGGGACGAGGTCCGAGGCGGTTGCTTCGGATAATCTCCCGCATCGCACTCAGGACGAACAGGCCGAGTCCAGCCATAGGCTTACGGTATGGTCCAATGGCGTTCCGGATGGCGCACGTGTACAAGATGCCTTCGACGAAAAGAAGCTCTTGAGAGTCCAGACACCAGCCGAGATGGCTAGAGAGCACAAGAATTCCTTGGTCAAGACCCCCTTTACTGACGAGGTGTACCTTGTGGAGAGGCCGAAGAAGTTCACTATGCCATCCTTCACCCAGTTCGATGGGACAGGAGACCCCTCTCGGCATCTTGATCATTATGCGCAAAAGATGGCACTGGACGATCATAACGATCCGTGGATGTGTAAGGTTTTTCCTACCAGTTTAACCGGAGCAGCGTTAGAATGGTTCAGGAATAGGCCACACAAGTCTATCCCTGACTATGAGACCTTGTGCACCATGTTCTTAGCCCAGTATTGCGGAAATAAGAAGCAGAAGAAAAGTATCGCCAGCCTTTTCACCATAAGGCAAAGGAAGGGAGAAACTTTGCAAGATTTTTTATCCAGGTTTAACATGGAGGCCTCGGAGATAGCAGATTGCCATCCTGCCATGGCAATCGAAACGTTTAAGTTGGCGATGATCCAGGGAACCAAGTTTCACACATCCTTAGTCAAATATTCCCCCCCGGATATGCAGACTTTGAACGCTAGGGCACAAATCTACATCCGGTTGGAGGAAAATGTAGCCCACCGTGCACAGCACGCTACCCTCGTCACGGTGGAAAACAAGTCTCGAGAGAAAGCTGCGAGCACAAGGATGCAGAAGGTCCCTCATACCGCCACACAAGTCACCCAAGCGTCTGAGAAAAGGCGAAGGACATAGGACAGGCTTACCCCTCTCCGTACTACCTTGGCGCGCCTATTCCAAGAGAATAAGACGAGGTTCGCAACTCCTCAGCCCATGAAGCAACCGTTGGAGCAGAGGGACAAAAGCAAACATTGTGCCTACCATAGAGATTATGGGCATACCACCGATGACTGCAGATCCCTACAGCAACAAGTAGAAAGGATGATAGCGAGAGGAGAATTGGTGGAGTATCTCGCCACAAAGGAGCACGTAAGACCTCGGGAGGTTAACCCTCGACGGGTAGAAAGCGGTCAGGTAAAGGTTATCCATGCCATACACGGAAGGTCAGAGGATGATGAAGAATCTGAAGAGTTGTACAGATCCAGGCTGCGAGAGGCTCATAAGTTACGCAGGTTGTCTTCGGTAAACACAGTTACACCAGGCAGCATCAACATTGGATTCGGTAACAATGACCTTTCTAGAGTCCAGCGCCCGCATGAGGACCCCTTGGTCATCAGCCTCCTGGTAGCGAATTACAT